GGGATTAAGCATAACATTTAATCAAAAGTCTCTAATATGACATCTAAGTAACCTGGAAAATGTAAACCTAATGAACCTACCCAGCAAAACCACCAGTTTAGTTGTGATTATGAAAAACAGGTTTTACCTCATCTTTTCTTGGGCCTGAAACATATCAGGAAACTGACAGTCCAGACCGGGTGATGCTTCACCCTGCTCAGGGGTCCACAGGATCTCTCCCCTCCAGGAAGCCTGAGGCCATGTCCTCTCGTGCCGGTCCCCCAGCCAGATGGAGGGGAGTGCTGGATCCTGTGATCTCTCTTGGTTCTCTGGCAGTTACTAAGCGGCATGAAAGGCAGTTTTTTAAGAATACTCTTCCCCTCTACGCTTGAGTCACTGCCTAGGAATGAAGTCGGGAACTGAGGTGGTCTATTTTTTTTTTAAACTTTTTTAAATATTTTATTTATTTATTTGACAGAGAGAGAGACAGCGAGAGAGGGAACACAAGCAGGGGGAGTGGGAGAGGGAGAAGCAGGCTTCCCGCCGAGCAGGGAGCCCGATGCGGGGCTCGATCCCAGGACCCTGGGACCGTGACCTGAGCCGAAGGCAGACGCCTAACAACTGAGCCACCCAGGCGCCCCTGAGGTGGTCTATTAATTACCTCGGTCCTCTTGCTTTTCTGCATTAAATGGTAATTACTGTTCAGAGCCCTTTGAAATATCTAGCCTTTTGGTAACCTCGTCCTAAAAAAAAAAAAAATCTGTGCTATTGTTTAGGATAAAAAAATGGTTGGTAGTTATGCTACTAAATCACAGTTGGAAGGGATCAGATGTTCAAGACTATCCATTCAAACTTCATTTTAAGGATAGGTGACCTAAAAGAAGAGCTTCAACAACTTGCCCACAGTCAAGATTGATGAAAGAGCGAGCCCAGGCAGGAGTACAATTAGGGAGATAGAGTTATGCTTCAGGTCAACCTTTATCACCATAAATAATAACATCCACCCAGCCTTTGCCCACATACTAAGAAAAACAATAATATGACTCTTAAATCACCTAAGGAAGGCTCAGCATGAGTTCTTTGATAAATAAGACTGAACAACAGCATACCAAAGAGCTCTCTTGGTCATTTTAATTAAAAGGAGCTTTCTGTCCCATTTCATAATTCTCTTTGATTTTGTTTTGTTTTTTTCGGGTTCCCTTCGCCCTTCACTGGCCACCATTTCAAAACAAGCTGTAACACAGTGGACGAGGGCCAAGGTGCCTGAGCCATAAACAGGTAGAAAGAGCTAGACCGACAGCTGAGCTAGGCAGACAGAGCGACCATGGTTTATGGAATGAGATTTATGAAGGAAAAAAAAAAATCACAGAAATAACACACATTTGTTTGCGGAAACTTTCAGGTCTTGCTTTCTGGAAAAACACATCTTGGAAAACTTGACACTTCGCTTCTTCATTATATACAGTGGCAAAGGGATGCGAGTCAGGGGAGAGGGACATTTGGACATGGGGCTGTCCGCGTGTCAATGGGGTCTCTGCTCTGCAGTGGGGGGCGGGGGGGGAGATTCCCTCAGACCGAATGTTGGAGAAGCACCAGCCAGGGGGCTTGGACTCGTGGTGGGGGTGGGGCTCCTGGCCTCTGTGACCACCCAGGACTTCATGACCTGGGGGCCTGGGTTGCGTCTAACACATCATTAGCAAGGCTTATGCTGTAGGTAACTATGTTTTCCCAGGAGATGAGAGATCTCTTTTCCTTTCAAATCCCAGAAGCCCGTGGGGCTCGACAGAATTCCTGAGGGAACCAGTAACCCCCAAATCAACGTCCTATACCACAAATGCTGTAAAAACTCCTTACTCAACCCAGGTTGACCACCTTTGCGCTTGATGGACTGACACCCCCACCACACCCCAGGGCGCTCAGGCGTGGCCACGGTCTCTTCCCCAGAGGAAGTCCAACAGGACCAGAAATGTGCACTCCTCACTGCCAGCCAGCACACCACCTTCCAAAGGTTCCAATGCTCTCCCCCCTCCTTGATCTTTTTTTTTTTAACAGCAAAATATACTTTATCTTTTTACAAGATCTTGTTTTTTAAGGAATCTTTACACTCAATGTGGGCCTCGAACTCACACCCCCAGTCAAGCATTACATGCTCTACCGATTGAGCCAGCCGGGCACCCCTATAGCAAAATACACTTCAGATTTTTTGTTCCCATGCACTCAAATCCCCACTCTCTTTCACTCCAGAAATGGCTCCAACATGAAATGACAATCCTTTGGTCTATGCCTCCACTCGAACAGGTTAAAGGTACTCTGCGAAAGGTTCCCCCACTTTGCTTTTAGAACCCAGGCGCTCTCCGGTTAGTGGAATGTTGCCCTCGGTGATTAAAACTGAACTGCACCTGCTAAAAATCAAGCAGTTTTTCCTCATCACGCACCCTTAGTCTTCTAGCTCATTTATAATCACTAATTCAGATTTGCAAAAGCTCCTTACCCATAATAATGATGTTGGTCCTATTTATTTTGAGACCAGGAGTTTCTGGAGGCTCATCAACTCTTTTTACTTTTTTCCAAGGCTGTCTTAAATGAGGAAACTCGTTAACCGCCAGGATTTTGACCACCACTCTTATACTTTGGTTGTATTGAAATGAAATCATTAGAACTGCATCAATTATGTTCCCGGAGAGCGTTTGGTGGTTAGAACAATCCCCAGGGCCACAACTGTAGTGGTTTTAACTCCTCCTTTCCAACCAGCACCCACGTAAGGAAATCTTTATCAGCCTTTACAAAAAAAGCAAGCCAATCTTCCCAGCTCATGGTGCCTGGTGTAAGCACTGACCTCAGAGCAGAGAGACAAAGCACCTTCCTGCCTTCTGCTCCCACCAACAAGCAAGAGTCATGAAAGACAGGCCAAGCGTGTCTATTTCCACAGCTTCCAAGGCACCCACCTCACAGCAGATAAACCTCACACTGTCGCACACGCAAATTGCCCCACGTCCCTGCTTAGAAATTCACTCCTAGGCTTTCCCCGTTGTTGACCTCTGGGTTTTGGCTTCTGGAAATTTTTAAATGTTAAAACAAAAGTCAACCATTTTTGTAGAAGAAAACAACCCTTTTAAAGATGAGAATTGGGTAGGGTATTTCAGAAAAGGGCTCCGGGGCACTTTTTTATAGAGAGGAGGCCCAATGAACCACAGCAGTGATGAGATCAGGGCTCACGTGCCCTCTCAAGTGTCGTCGGGGTGTCGTGGACACAGCTGTAGCAGAAAAGTCCATCTACCAAGAAACCCTCTTTGACCTGGTTCTTCAGAACCTGGGGTCCAGTCTAGAGTGTCCCCCTGAAGGTTGCCCAGATGGCTCGGCTGATCCCAGGTCTCCTGATGTCCATGCCCTTGGGGAATTCATCTCCTTCCCTAATGATCTGCTGAATAACAGAAAACAGCCAAAGTGGTCGGAGGTCACTTCCATGATTAGGTTACCAAAGGCTGTGACTCTTTTCTTCTTCACACGCTACTTCTTCTTGTCTGCCCTCCCTGAGGGGGGCCAGCTACCACATGAAGAGGCCCACTGGGCAAGGAACTGAGGGCAGCCTCCAGCCCACAGCCAGTGAGGAACTGAGGCCCTCAGCCCAACAACCTGCAAAGAAGTGAGTCCAACAGCCCCGGGAAGGAGACTGGGAGCAGGTCCGTCCCCACAGCTGATCCTACAAATGAGACTCCAGACATAACTGAAATCTTAGTCCTACGAGAGACCTCGCCATGGAAGGCCCAACTAAGCCACACCTGGAAAACTGTGATAAAAAATGTTTAAAGCTACTGCACTTTGGGAGAATTTGTTACACAGTAATAAGTGACCAATGCACTGACTCACGGACTCATGCTATCCAAACAGACCAAAGAATGTCATAGTCAAATTCCTTCAGCCTTCCTCACATACTACATTCCTCAAGGCCTCCCCTTTCATACTAAATAGTGCAGAGAGACTCCATGTCTCTCTTCCTGAGACACCCTTCCTTCAAACTCAGCCCAGGTTCCCTTCCTGACCTCTGTCATCCTTAGCCTTCCCAAGAGCCAACATCCTCTCTCCCTGCACGCCCACAGGACAACATGCTCTTCTGACTTTGGCCCACTCAGATCACGGCTCTCTGGTCTGTCTTCCCTTCTGGACGAGGAAGCCCCGTGAACTAAGGCTGTGTGCTGTCCAGCCCTCGGAGGGTGCCTGCCCCCAAGGATGCTCATCAACGTCCACTGACTGGATGAACAAGAGCCTGACGGGCATTTACAGGCCTCTTTAGGGAGACGGCTGTCAAGCTCCACCTCCCCCAGAGGGGGGAGACTACACTTCACCACCTTCTGTGATGGGCTCTCCAGAGCCTTGTAGACGGAGGACAGAGATGGCCTGTCACCATGGAAGCATTCTCTCTTCATAAACACTATTTCATACACAGCGTCTGAGCCAAGTCCATCCATACTCACACAACCCTGCTCAAACAGGGCAAGTATACTGACGCTTCTCCGATTCTGCTTCAGTTTTAGTTTTATAGACTATAAAGCATATAGAAAACAGACTCTCAACTTTCTACCCTCCTGTTATTAAACTCTTCTCGCATAAAGAACAATGCCAACGGGGACTGTGCTTTTAAAGTACGTGCAAGTCCAGGAAAACAGTTTTAAAAGATCAACTGTGGAAATGACCAAAGAGGAGAACGACTGATTTATTTTTTTTTAAGATTTTATTTATTTATTTGACAGGAGCGGGGGAACACAAGCAGGTGGAGTGGGAGAGGGAGAAGCAGGCTTCCCGCTGAGCAGGGAGCCCGACATGGGGCTCGATCCCAGGACCCTGGGATCATGACTTGAGCCGAAGGCAGACGCTTAACCGACTGAGCCACCCAGGCACCCCGAGAACAACTGATTTAAAAATATATATATATATTTCCTTCCGGTTCCTGCTACCTTTCAGCTACTTAAAAAAGAGATTCATAAAAACGTAAGAAAGAGAACATTTTGAAAACTTCATTCTACCTTATAGCCTCCAATGCGATGTTCCTGCTTAAAGTCCTTTCCATTCTTCAGCCACCGCATAGTTGGTGCTGGATTTCCCCCAGCCGGACAGCGAAACTTGACAGTATTGGCTGCAGGGACAGCATGAAGTCGCTTTTCCATCTTTTCTGTGTTGGTCCAGTACGGGGCTCCTGGGGTGGAAAACACAGTTAAAATGTACAGAGGACAGCTTCATTTCCGTAACAGGGAAGATAATGTTACTTTGTAAGTGAGCGAGCTAACATTTTCAAAAATCTTTGGGTAGTATTTACCTTAGGAAAAAAGTTTTCTGAAGTCTAGCAGATGGCCTAGCAGAAGGTCCCTGGAGATGGACTGCTTATTAGTTTGTGTCTCTTAATGGGGGAAAAAGTGTTTGAGGTACCTTCTCTCCCTTGTTCCTAGGGCCAGAATATAAATTCATGGCGAATCATGTTTTCAAATGCTACTTTATACAGTAACTAACAACAGCTAAGTCCTCCAAAATGAATCATTTTAGATCACCACACCTAGCAAATGATCACATACACATACAAGGTGTGCTCGAAGCCAAGTCAGTTTAGCCACGGAAGCTGTAAAGAATAATCAATAACATAACTTACCATCCTAAGATGATAAATTATTCAGGGAGGCATCACTAATTTCCCAGTACTTTATATGACAAACCAGAAAGCCCTATCACTAACTATGTTTTAATTTTTTTAAATGGACAAAAGATGTTTCAGTGGTTGTGAATGCCATAATTCTACCACCGTGTCTAAACAGGTAAAACTTAACAGAAGGCTATCAATTACACGTTATGTGAAGGTGAGCCCTCTAAATGACCCGCAAAGTCATGGATACAAGTGATTCTTTAAACTCAAGAGAAGAGATAACTTTTTAAATTGCCAAACGAAGGACATTTTATCTAAGTAGGAACCACAGCATCGATCCAGAATACCACCGTAAATTCTTCATGCCTGCCAACAGCAACTAATGAGCACTATTGACTGAGGGCTTCTTATTTGCCAAACCGAGCTCTAAAAACTCTTACATGTTTAGCATATTAATCCTGACACCAATCTGATGAGAAAGGCATTATTATAATCCTCGTTCACAGACAAGGAAACTGAGGCACAGAGAAGATACAAAGCTAGGAAGAAGGGCAGGCAGATCTGAGCCAAGGCAGTCTGATTCCAGAGCCCACTGTCTTTACCCCTACTCTCCATGGCTGGTAAGAACCAGCTTCTCTAAGGGGTCAAAATCCATACCTTCAACCACTCTGATGTTAAAGACCGGAGTCCAGGACAGCCAGCCCTTGCCAAAGGCACACTGCCTTCTTGATTACTGCCCAAAAGTTTCACTCAAATGTCGTACAGCTATTTAACTTTTCAAATGTATATTTCTGTCTTAGCAAACTGGCAGCCAAAATTTCCCTAAAGCATCCATCAACAGGGCCTTGCACCTTCCAGAACATTCTATAACACTGAAATTCTAGAAGACTGATTCATAACTGTGTTTACCGCTGATGAGGGTTAGACTGAGCAGCGGCACACACCATTTCACAAACCAGAGACAAACGGGTCCAGGCAGGGGTTTTGTCTCTGATGTGGATTTACAGGTCTCCTCCTCTATTCTGTGGATGACAGAGCTCGCTCCCGGGCGGGGGTTAACAATCCCCTTCACTTAACAGCCAGACTCTCATGGCAGAATGAGGAATTGGAAAAACTGCGTTCAAAACACCTACCCTTGTTTGCCTCACCCTTGCTCTTGAAACCTGACTATAAAAGGTGGAGCTGAGATTTCTTAACAAGGGCATGCTGAATCTTCTTTATCCTTGTTTATCTAAGTATCAGTGTAGATGTAGATGCTGTCTACACAATGCCAAGACCGTGCAGGCAAGGCAAAACTGAGGTGGTCATGTGTACCAGAGAAAGAAAGACCAGAGCAGGGGCAGGAGGAGAGCCAAGGGAATTAAGAACGGGGTTGCACGCTTTCCTCTGAATCCAGCTGTATCTGCAATGAGTAGGCAACTTGGTGGCCATTTGGCTTTGGGTGTCGAATGCCCATAAACGCACCCATTCTTTTGAGGGTTCACTGGGGAGTACTTGATTGCTATTCATCACAAGACTCCCAGAGCCTGGCATATACTGGAACAATTTCAATAATCTTTCATTTTAAAAGCTTCTACTTAGAAAAATCCATCCACAGCACAGCCACTAAAAAGAAACCATTAAGAGCACAAAATAAATAATGAGCTTTGTCGCTACACAAAGACTTTTATAAATCTGACCTAAATGAAAAGCATACCTCATGCTGTCAGGTGTCTATACTCATGTCATTTGTTTAAGTAAACACAATGGCCTATTCATACGAATTAGCTAAATATTAATGTAGTAACTCTTTGAGATAGCATCAATTACAGCTGAGCTGATCCTCTGGAATGTCTTTTCATTTTCATATAAAAGAAATCAACAGATACGTGCTTACATTCCATTAGGCATGATTTGTACGTTCCCTAAAATGTTAAAAAGTAAGATTTAGTTGAAGGAACTAGGAATGTTGCCGGAGCGAAGCTGTCAGGGAGGCTGTAACCCACACAGGGATCACCCCAGACCACATGAGCCCACACGGTCATGGCCTGTGGCAACATCACACTGACAGCCGGCACCTTTGTCTTGGCACCTAAGGCATGATTTAAGGACAAGGGCGAAAAGAATTTTGCTGGAATTTCTGGCAGGAAGCCACTTCCCTGGGGTAAAATTTCAATCGTCAAAACTGCACCTATAAAATCTGCTCGTGCAAAATAGATGCACGGCCACGAAGCAGGGTACGGGCACCCAGCTTGTCATCTAAAATCGCAGGGATGCCGGGTGGGCGGGGCACTGTGAAGTGCTAATCAACGGACTAGAAAATGGTCACCTACACGGCTACCCCTTGAAGCCTACATCTGCAACACTCTTTTCCTGAATACCTGTAAATAGCGACTCGACAGAAAAGCCGTTGAGCCAAGTTTTCCAGGTTGTCTGTGTGGCAGTGGTGGGCCACCCCAACGCTCTGCCCAGTCGCACTCACATCACACAGGACAACACACTTCTGTGACCAGACTTTCCTTGAAGATTGTGGCTCATGAATTTTTTTAATGCGCATGATGCTAGAGGGGAGGAATTATTTTATAATGGCTCCTCCTGAAATAACCTAGTTTTATGTGGAGCCTGAACGGTCTAGAAAAATAATGAGACTGTAGGACTAGCCCTAGCTGCACTTTCTTCATCAATGTCCTCATGTCCTCCACGAACTTTGCATTCAATATTTCCTGCCATTTTTGCAGTCTGGACACACGGAAATGCCAGCCACTACCCCCCCGCAACACACACCCCAAGAACAACAACGCAGCTGGTGAGAGACCAGGACCAGGCTCCTCTTTTCATATCGTGGGTTAACTTTCACTTGCAGAAGGAACTCACCTAACAAGTTAATGATTTACAAAAGCAAAATGGCCCTTGCACATAGTAGGTGTTCAGTACAAACCTTTCCTCAACAATTTTATAAAAGATGAAACCTGCAGGCCAAGGCTCCATCACATTTCAAAGAAGTCTCTGATTCTCTGAGCATCTACTTAATGGATCCTCCCTGGCATAATCTTAGGGATGTAGGAGGAGTGAGTTTAAAGTCAATCCACAGAAAAGGAATGGTGATAGAAATCTCGGATGGCGTGAAGAAATGAATTCTACTAAATCAGAGGTAAGCAAGTGACCTATAGGATCCTTCTGCTCTGATATTCTCAGATCTTCTGATGTAACATGTAGCAAAAGAATGATGCTCTCTTAGTCATTAAATACTAACAATGAGCTTAAAGGAACAGTAAAATCCAGGCAAAAAATAAATAAGTAAGTAAAATCCCGTCAAGGAATACTATACCTACTCAGTATCATTTTCTACACTGAAACAGTTATTGCATATTAGTGAAAATGCTAATAAAATTTTACTTTAATACAGCAGTATTCTCTTAAGATGTGCTGGTTAAACAGAGATGTATAACCCCACAAAAACTTCCCTCAATGTTCCTTCAACCTACCACCTCCATCCCACAGTGAAGATTCATCACATTCCTTTGCTAGGCCTCCTTTTTGTCATTTACGTATTTCCATCACCAGGGTGTCTCCATACTGAGATGTATCCTTTTCAATGTCTGCTGACCAGTAAGAGTAGAGCATCTGAAGGGTACAGCTTGAGTCGCCTTCAGCCCATGGAGTAGGCACTCAAGTGTTTATTGGATGGACGGATGGATGGATGGATGGACAGATGGACAGACAGAGAGATGGACAAATGTACCAGATGGACAACTACTAAAAGCTTGAGTTATAAAATGAGGGAGTTGAACTGAATGTTCTGGTATGGTAAGGTCCCTCCATGTCCTAACATTCTGTCCAGGTATTCTAGGCAGATATTGATTTTGTCAACACATGGTAGGATTAGAGGGTTTCTTTTGACCATGCAATCAAAAACATGGGCTGCCCCTACAGAAGCCCTTACATGCCCCAGTATGTATCTCAACATGGACACCTAAGGTCTATGGTCTCCTCTCTTTCTGAAATCAAAAAGAGAATACAGCCCAGTGGTTTAAAGGAAACATGGAATCATATTATCACTGTACCAATAAGCCTCAGTCACCATCTGGTCCAACGGCTGATGTGATCAATGTCACCCAGAAAGGTCAAGTGATCTGATCAAGGTTGCATGGCCAAGGCCAGGCTGAGGCAAGACTCAGGCCTCCAGCTCTCTGGGCAATGCTCTTTCAACCACCCCAGGCTGCCCTTTGAACTCTCCCATGGTAATTAAGTCAAAAGTTCAAGATTTATGTGAGCTGTAGACCCTGATGACTGCCAACTGTATTTTTATTGATGCAAAAATAAAAAAACACAGCCTGTTTCAGCTCCTAGATTAAGTCTCACAAACTCCCTAAAGCCCCACTAAGGCCTCTGTCTTAAGTCTATAATTAGGGCCTTTAAAAATATCACTAATCAGGACATTTGAATGCTTTGACCCTGACTGGGGTGGGGGTGGGAAGATGTGTCTGAGCTCCACCCCCATCCTTCCAGTAGACTGAGGTTCATCTGTTTTCAGTTTTGCATAAATTAAAAGAAAACAAATCTAACAAAATACAGCGATATGAGTGCGTGCATGATTATGGGGGCAGCGGGCTTTATTTGAGAATCTCATTAAAAACAACAACTTGCTGACCAGTGAGGCATTTGATAAGAAACACATTAAAACAAACCAGGCAAGTGACCCTCATTTGAAATGCCTGAGTCCACCGGGAGACCAGTTGCCCCGTGGGAGGTTCCTAGGATCTGCCTTCAAAAGAAAACCCTCCACTTACTCGTTATGCTGGTTGACCACAGTGGAGGCCAAGAAAGAGATAATTCAATCCAACCTTCCGGACAGAACACCATCCCTGGCTTTTGTGATAAAACACCCAAACCAATTTAGGATGAGGTTTTCATTACGAAGGAATGTCAAAAAAATTCAGGAAGCCTGTGTGCTTTGGGTTTATTATTATTATTATTATTATTATTACTATTATTTTTAATTCCTGGAAACTGCAACACAACATTTACCAACTTAGATATAATCTCTACTAAGTAAAAATCCCAATTAGACCAAAGGTGATGGTAAACTGTTATTATCAGCAGGTTAATCAACAAAAGGAGTATGGAATCTCAGGCCAAGTTCCTTCATTTTCCCTAGCCAGTTCCAAAAAAACTGCCTTTCTCCCTGACACAGAGTATGGGTACTTGCAGGTCTCAACAGGAATGAAACCAAAATAGAAAACTGCCTTGTCTCTCTCTTCGCTCAAGAGAAAGAACCACTCCACGAGCAAAAATCTTGATAAAGCTGCCTTGCTGTTATTATCCCTCTAGCTCAGCAGTTAACCTGAATTTTGTCAATCATGATCTTCCCGAGAACTAAGTCTCAAGCTTTTCAGAAGTATTAATCACTTAAACACAAGCTTGAGTTAATAAAAATCACTCGAGGAAAAAAAAAATGGACATGCATGTCTACTTATTCGTTGCCAGATAACCCATTAAGACACCTGTACCTAGGGGAGGCAAGGACTAATTAAGTTACGCCTTCTCTGCTGAAGTAGAAACTCTGAACCTTTCAAAACCCTCAACCTGGATGCATTTCAAAAATTAGTATTTGAAATCGCAACTTTCTGTCCCAGAAAGTCTGTTTCACTAAAGGGCATATGTAAGCAGCATTATTTCCTGGCAGCCAGGCTTGCAATGACATCACAGGATTGTTCTGCTCAGGGAAACGTCTAGCGCTGGTAAGGTGTGAGGTCATCAGCTAGTCAGCTGCTAAAATATGACCTGAGAATGCCCTTCACATCTGTGAGGGAAGGACTTGACTTAAAAGGCAAGAGAAAAGTCAGGTCAATCAAATCAGCCCATTGCAGGGATTTTCAAAGCATGTGCAACAGGAAATGTGAATGAACGCTGTATTTTAAAGAAGGTCTTACGGTCAGTAAGTTTGGAAAACCCTGGGAAAGGCCAAAATTAAACGGATGTTTTACCATTGAACACCGCAGAGTTTAGTATGCTGACTGACAGACACTGTAAGTCTGAGAAAAGGGTCCTAGGAGGAGGTATTTTTCAAATTCATTTCAAAATACAACTCCTTGGCACAGAATTAGTCTGGACTAGGGTTCCAAAGGGATATACTTTGGGAAACACCAGCTTATTCTCTTAAGGCACAGACCAGACCTGAGCATTACCGCTTCTCATGAGACCCATGAAAGATGTACATGAGGACTGTAATTTCACAGAATACTCCCTCAACATCCAGGCTAGTCCTTGCCTCCCAAAGTGGTCTACCCGGAAAGGCAGGTATGAGACACGATGCGATACGGCCCGTGATGTCAGAGAACAGAACACGTGAACTTTCAAAATCAAGCCACTCAATCTGCTTATGTGAGCGAGGAAATCTCTACAGGGGAGCCCACTTTTGAGCTGAGCTGGGTCTTGTACGATGGTGTGAGAGTTAAAGTCAACCCTGAATACTGCGAAACATCTCTGTAAAAAAATCAGATCAGACCTACTTCCATGGCCAAACTTCAACAATCTTGCCTTAATTTTGGACTTATTTTTGCCCTTGTATTTGCCTGCCATGCTTTTTGTACTCTGTACAAAATTTAAGAACTCTACCAGGCAGATAAGCTTGCCTTCTTATAGCTAACCACCAAATCAAATAAACAAAAATCTAGCATACCAGCAGAGAGAACGACCTGCAATATATTTTTCAAGCCATCGGCTACAGAACTAACATCTACCAACCCAAAAAGAAAAAAAAACTTCAGACAAGCCCAGAAATGTGACTGTCAGCAGATCACTGGAGCATCATTTGTTAACTCCACTGAAGAGGAACTTTCAAACACCCCCCAGTGGCATTTCCAGACAATCAGAAGGCACCAGAGGAATCAATCTGGACACATGGGTGTTTTCCAGGTGGCTGAAAATGCATGGAATTCGGCGCTTCTACAATTTTCCCTATTAATCAGGTCAGGCATTTGACACTGGAGGTGGCAAAAAATTGTTTTAATGACAACATCCCATTCCCCGCCTTGCCAATTACCCTGGCCATGGCATTCCTCTGTCCACACAGGCCACAGCTGCTTAATCTCCGCTGCCCCAGGCTGCACCTGTGAATCAGACCAGCCTAATCACACTAACAGATGGCAGAGGCCAAGTAGCCAGCTAAGAACTGCTATCACTTTAAATCGCATCTAATGTTTCACAGGCACCAAACAGAGGCAGTTCCCGACAGCAGTATCTCCCTGGTACAGCTAACACCAGCCCTTAATCACTGCAGAGCACCCATCGTGGGGCAGACTTGGTGTCATTCAAGAGCTAATTACAAAGAACCCTGGTCCCAGGGTGAAGGCATGGCATTCATTAAATGCACTCCACTCCCTGGCCCATCTGCACAGGCACTGGGAAGATGGGACTAGTGTTCAGGAGGAAAACCTGGAGGTTTGTGGCAGGTAATCCTTCCCAATCATCAGAAAGAGGTTCAATTCACTCAGTCTACTTGTTACATAACCTACACCTTGCTGTTACATTGTACTGCTTCCCAAGTATTCCTGGCAACATGCTATGAGACTTGGTTCAGCAGGACAATGCAGCTTGCAGACATGTCAGCACAACCCAGATGCCGCCGGAGTCTGAGATCCCACGTGGGGGCACCACTTGAGGGCTGTAAACAACACTGCACCCTCTTCATCACCCTGGGGACTGGGAGAGGGGCGCTGTGATTCAACATGCAACAGGCCTACAAGTGAATGGCAGTTTTGCCTTTTGCTCACTGAATCATGAATTTCCGATCAATAACACAGGAATAATACTTTTCTCTACCTTATGTGGCTTGAGGGGGCATTGCCTGAGCCAGCAACCAGCACAGAGCTTGCCCAAAGCAGGACTCCAAGCAGGGAGTCCTTTTATTGCCTCCCCTTGCTAAAGCCAAAGAACTAATAATAGGGAATGAGTGATGTCTTCTGATGTACCAGGGTTTTATTACTAAATAGTAATAACTTTGTTAGAAGGTTGGCATGAATCACAGCAGAAGACAGTTTCACGCACCCACTGTTTTATAAATAAGAGCTCTAACAGTAAACCCCTGCTCAAGGCATATCGACATGTGTCGATTTTCATTTCTAGTAAGTTCTTAGAGCTGATGCTGACGCTAGTGGTCCAGGCCCTAAGTTTTCTCTTGCCAAAACAGTGAAAACTATAGACCAAAACATTTCCCTTCTTGCCGAAGCTGCTAGGAGACTCAGGGACAAATGCATTTCCCCACTTAACACATTATCCCAGGTCCCTAACAGCATTGATTTTCTCGTCTTCCCTTAAAGAGCCCCAGGCCTCTTTTAATAACTAATTGTCTTATTATTTAGGCCTTGTTTAAATTTATTAAACTGACGAAACCCTTCTGAAAACACGTAGAATATAACACCTGAGCAAAGAATGCCAGTGACCAGTCTAAAATCAATTTGGGAACACAAGCAGCCATGTTACCGGAAAGACAGAAGGCTCTATTTTATCTTCTTTCTCGAACAAACAAACACACTCTTCTGAGCGCTGTACAAACTCATCTAATCCTCGTTAACAACCCCAACGGACACTGTAACTATTCCCATTTTATAGCTGAAGAAACTGAGGCACAGAAGTTAAATTACTTGCCCAAGTGACGGAGGTAGAGAGGCCACGTACTTCTACACCAAGGCCACCCATGTGTCACTGCTCAGCGTTAACTGCCTTTACAAAGCCAGCGGCACCTGCTGGCCCCCTTCCCTATCGCTGCCTGCAAAGTAAGGCACACTACTCCCCGTATTTCCTCTCGGCACACAGCGGTGTTTAAAACGGCCCCGGTTTCTCAACTTCAACACTTCTGACATCTTGGACCAGATCCTTCTTTGTTATGGGCTGTCCTGTACATTGCAGGATGTTTATTAGCAGCACCCCGGTTCCTCCCGCTGGATGCTACTGGCATCCCTCCTCCCCCTGTTGAGACAACCAAACATTGCCCAAAGTCCCCCAGGGGAGGGAGAAGGAGGAGAATCCCCCCCCCCACCAGCGGAGAACCCCAGAGTTAAGCCCTGCACTGTCAAAGCAAACCAGGAGATGGTATGCGGTTCAACTCGGGTGACGTCTCCAAACCGTGAGAAACCAAAGAGAAAAAGGAAATCAAGGAAAGGAAAATCGTGACCGCTTCCCAGAGTGGCTTCTGACACAGTAAGAAAGGACCGACAGTAGAGAAGGGTGTACAGGAGCACTGGTTTATTCTCAGATTCGAAAGTCAGGAGAGTAGACACAGCGGAGAAAGGCAAGGGTTGTGGGTTGTAGGACACGGTATCCCGAAGAGCGGACGAGATGACAGGTTAGAGTCCGGACTCCCCACCAGGCTCTGCTCGCTCCGGAACCTTCCGAGGTGGTCACTACTTACTCTTGTTGTTACTGTTCTCACTGACAAAATCCTCGGAACCATCCGTGTCGTCCTCGTCATCTCCGGATGAGATGGCATCTGTATTCAAAAGAATATAGCCATGGATGTGGTTTGTGCAAAGCAAAAGGCTGCAATCACGTACAACTCAGTCCTTCTGGAGAGGGCCTTCCGCAACCCGGGAGGAGCCCACGCAAAAAGTCCGAGACCGTGTTTAGCAAAGATGGTTTTAATGGCTTAAATTTTCTCTCCGTGATGACAGTTGGTCTGTATTATGATTCTCAAAGCTTTCTGCTTTCACGTTATTTAAACATGCTGTCAAGTTGGATATATTGAAACTGGATTTTAAGCTTCAAACAGCATTCAAGTCCCCAACAGATTTACTGATTGTGTTGTGACCCATCCAAAGATTCTTTCCAACACCGCCTTTCAGTTCTCAGGACCCCCTTCAAGAAGGGAATTCGTCCCTAGCCGAACTTAGCCCCTGTGTGGCCTTCCATCCGTTTACTAACTTCTGAAAGCAAACCTTTAAACTCGGCCACAAAGGGGATCCGTGCAGTTCCCCCTAACTGCATGGAAGAAAAATAAAGGAGAGACACTCACATTTTAATAAAAGGAATCCAAAATCTTCCACATCAAAAATTTCAGTCCTGGATTCTAAATGCCAAGGATGCCAGCAGTATGGGTGGCAGAGGGAAGGGGGTTGAAGATGTGTTTTTACTTCTATAAAAGTGGACTGTCTTAAGAGGAAAATATTACTTTGCACATGAGAATCCCGTCATTTTTAACGGCCAGCCTCTCTGGTTGAGCTGGTCCCGTGGAAGAACTTCAAAAACAGATCAATAACAAACTATGAAGCTCTGTACGTGGCATCCAATTAGCAGCTCCCACTATGATTTCGCTTGTCCAATACAATTTGACCCAGAAAACGGCTACAGAGGGGAGAGCGCGGAGGGCTCGCAGGCCAACTCACCTGTGACATTCACCATGAAGTAGACAGCCTCACTGTCTACCGGCCTAGCCGCCGTGCAAGCATAGAGGCCGGAGTCTCTAGGTGTGGCACCTTTTATCTGCAAGTATTCCCCAATAAGCACTGTCCTATTGTTGGGCCCCAAGTGTACCCCATCCTTAGTCCAAATGATCGTGGCGGCATCTCTCAACGGACAGCGCAACTCTAGCGACTCCCCGGGCGCGGCCACGTAAACTTCAGGTTGGGAGATTTGGTATTTGGTTGGTGGCTCTGCAGAAAGGTAGGAGAGAGAAGATGGAGACAGATGGGAAGGAGGAAAAGGAGAGAACGTCCAACAAAGGTCAGTGGCGGGCCCGTTCATTCCTGGGAGAGGCCATTGTTGGTTTGCAAATGGCCCCAGCGGGCGTTCGCCTCTGCCCACGCCCGGGGAACCCAGGAAGCAGCCTCGTGCACAGAGGAGACTGAGTGTCCGAGATGTGGACCAGAGGAAGCACCCAGTGGAAGCTGCCCCGCTGAGTCTGCGCAAGCTGGGGGGCTGTAAACACACACCCGAACCCCAGTATTGAACAATATCGTACAAGAAAACTTTTCAGTCGATTGCCAATCCAAAGTCTGCTTGCAACTGTCACACCCCGGCAATTCTATTCTTGTGGCATTTTATTTGTAGGGACGTGTGTTTTATCATCTTTTTCATACAATGCGACTGCATGGCTGTGTGTCTACACCTACACACACACACACACACACACACACACACACACACACACCCCTATTTATTTTTGTTAAGACTTTTGTTGTCACAAAGCCGAGCTTCTTAAAATGAAATGCCTCAAACTCAAGGGAAACTAATGAGTCCTTCTGCAAAGCTGTAAGGCTCAGATCACTTTGCCGGTCTGGAGACCTAATTGTGTGCTGGGCAAGCTCAACACCGTTTTTCTTCACACCAAAAAGAACGAAATGCCCCCAGACAGCCGAGAGGTGGTCTTCATATTGCACGGAAAAGGATCTGGAAATGAAGCCGCTGAGCACTGTGTACCTTACCCTCTGACACAGTCACAGCTGGGTCCCACCCTGCCCGCCAGCCCCCACCACACGTCCTGGGTTCCAGCCCCCTCAGACCTGTAGCTCTATGTCCTTTTAGAGGTATGCCTTTCTCCCTCACCTCCCCGTTCACCCAATTCATCCTTCCAGGCCCAACTCATCCTGCTGGATGTGGGCTTGCCATCCATCCCCCAGGCCTGGGGTGACATGGTTCTCCCCTCCTTGTTCACCTGCCCACTTCGCCTGCTTCTGGGGAAGCACCACAGATCCCGTGGCCATGTCCTGTCTCCCAGGGAGACAGCAAGATCTTGACGGAGGGCTCAGGTCCCCTTGGGCATCCCGCCCCGCCCCCGAGCATACACACGGAAGGGCCCCGTGCTGAACAGGATTGCAGTCCCCAGATATGCAGGGCAAGAGGGGACCCGTGCAACGTGTGCAAGCAGATGAGAGGGAGCCACAGACAGGTCTGTAAGGAGAGCAGCCGGAGCTGCTGGCTGGGACCCACGAGGACTCGTGAATGGGCTTTCATCCCTCACAATGGGAACTGTGAATGGTACCCAGAGTCCCAGACCCAAGAAACATCAAGCTTCCCAGCTCTGGGATGGCTCCAAATCTGGGCGGCATCACAAAGCAATTGTTTTGCCCTTTTGAGTGTAGTCCGGACAAATCTCCCATATAACAATGGAATAAAGTCACTTCGTGCCTTGGTCCCACTGCTGAAGGAACAGGGAGGACCGTGTGCCTCTGGTTGTAGAAATCCTCCACAGCACCATCATCAATGGCAAACATGGGAGGGCTAGGACTCCCCAAAGGGGCATCTCCAAAGGCACACATGCCAAGATGGGCCCAGATGCTGAAGAGGATGTGGACATAAAGGGCTAACCACAACAACAAATAAGAAAAAAGTCAAATTTAACATGACAAACATACCCGGGAACAAGGGCAGAAAACCCCAACTCAGAGACAGTTTACATTTCCCAAATAAATTTGTTTTTCTCATTCAACACCTCCTGAACACCTACTACGGGCCATGCTTTACTCTGGATGCTCAGGAAGCAACAGGTCACCATGAAATCCTTGCAACACTGGCGGGACTTTAATTACAGCGGAGGTGACCGACAATAAATAAAAAATCAGCCAAAAATACAAAGTACGCGAGGTGGTCTTAAGTGTCGGGAAGCCAAACACAGCGAGACGGCAGCACCAGCACAGACCACGGGGGAGGACCCGTTCTAGAGCGGGCGCTGGGAAACTATGGCCCCCAGGCCAAACCCAGCCTTCGCCCGTTTTTGTAAACAGAGCCACACTCGTTCCTTAAGTATGGTCTGGGGCCGCTGTTCTTACAGCGGCAGAGCTGACTAGTTGTAACAGATGCCCTATGTCCTGCAAAGCCTTGCCGTTGGCAAAAAGTTTGCCAACCCCCGCTGAATGGGCTGTTCAGGGAAGGTTTCCCTAGTGGTGAAGGGCACAGTGATGTTTGGGAAACATGGCGCTGGGAACTTAGCTGGAAGGTCCTCAAGCCACTTCTGAGGTTGTTCAGGTCCCCTAATGCAACTGAACTGCGGGACTAATAGAAAGATCCTGAACTCTGAAGCCTGGGCACAAAAGGGAGAGGAGGAAATATGTAGGCAAGAGCGGGAGGAAGAAGAGGAGAAAAAGGAATTCAGTTTGGCCCCAAATCTCAGACCGTGCGCCACTTCCAGAGGCCTGGAGTCACCTCAGTACTCACGGTGCCCCGAAGGACACCTGGCCCGACCCCTTTCACAGCTGGTTAAAGTAAGGATCAGATGCCATTTGGGTCCCCTACAACTGACAAATAATTACTGAAACAGCACCCATAATGTTAGAATGAATTTACACTGGATTGGCCCGGATCATAAAATAATCAATATTTATGACATCATGTCACTAAGAATATTACAACACTGGCTTTCCTCTGAGTCAGAGTTGGTCATCAAGAGATGACCAAGGAGGAGTAGCTGGACCCACACCACAATACTCCCCTCTCTCTTTAGGAGAGACGGGGACCCATGCAGCCAGCCTGCTTCTGCCCTGGCCCTCAGATCAGGAGAACCACGTCCCTACTTCACGCAGGCAGTGGGACACGCTCACACTGCTTTAAAAAATAATAATAATAAGCAAGATACTTGCACTTATGACGCAGAAAAATCTCTCCGCTGACCAAGGCAGAGCCATGATTTCCCTGTTTTTAAAGGAACGCATGTTCACTGAGAAACCTTCGCCTCACCTGAAATAGGTAAACCACTAAGTCTCGCTGAAACCAAAGGTGCCCGGACCCATGTCACCAAAGACACCACCACCTGCCAGTTGTAGAAGGAAGAACAGGGCACAATGAGGCCTCAAGGGCAGGGACCGCGTCCTGTTTGGGGCTGGACACACAGGAACTGCTTGATAAATGGGTGCCATCCTGCACGAGAAGAGGATGGAGCCCTGAGGCCCAATTCCACTCCATTCCTGCTTGATCTCTCCACCCCCAGCCCCTCATCCACTGAAGAGCAAGAAGGCCCAAATAACACGGTGTCCCTTGTGAGGACCCAATGAGCCAACCAACAGGAACCCCATCATCCCATCCCTAGCTTGCTGGGCCCACGACAGGCACTGCTGCCGTCGTTCTTCAAGGCTGAAAATGCTCACGGGGACTTGAGCACCACTCTTTCCAGAGGACACTCAGAGAAAACCTGGATTGGTGGATCTCCACAGAATGCAGGACAGTTTAATGACAGGCTCCCAACTCGGTGTAAGATGACTTATACTAAAAGCGGGTTTTTATTTCTAGTAAAACCAGGTCAAAACTGTCACCCAATTTTCCAGTTAGACGATAAGCTTCAAGGACAGTAAAATAACTCCCCCAAATACATCAATAAGGACGTTCATCCATAAGACGAAGCCACCTGACTCCAAGTCTGAACCCGTAACTACAGCATGGGAAATTCAGAAAGCGTGAGCTCCTCCCTCACCTGAGCGACCCCTTCACAGAAAGCTCACCAGGGCTGTGCGAAGCCCAGGAAGACCGGGGTGCACACCAGGAGGGGCACCCTCAAGGAGGGCAGCTCAGGAAGAAGGGCGAACAGGCGAATAAAAAGAAGGGGAGGGCAGAAGAGAAGGGCTGTGGTGGAGGGAGGGGGAATGAGTGGGAGGTGAGTGGGAGGAGGGAAGGGACGCCACACCGGTCCACTGCCACGCCACCCGGGAGCACCCCCACCCAGCTTGTGGGTTCCGGCATCAGACACCTCGGGACAAGGTGCAAGGACATGGGTGCTTTGCCTGGAACCCCAACAGCTGGCTCCGTGGAGGCCACTCCGGGCTTGGGTTTCTCTTCTGCACCCGACTCCCTGCAAACACGCTCCCCGACTGCTCGGCCCACACCTGCACAGGTATCTCCCTCACACACATCTGCACGGGTATCTCCCTCACACGGAGCCAAGAAGATCCGCCAAGTCCTCTGACACCAGCGACGAAGCGTCTGCCGTGGATGGCCCCGCAGCCTCCCTGAGGTCGGTCGGTCTGCCTCCACGGACACGGCCGGTGCCCCCCTCCCCCGCCCCGACCCGACCCGACTCCAACAAACTGCTCGGCCCGCTCTGTAACACACGACGGTTGACACAGGGCAAAGTATTCCCCGGGAGATTTAAACAATACCTTTTATAGTGATATTAACATTTCCTGGATTTTTTCTTTCCTGGTGCTACAGCTTACTTTTAACCTTTCTTGTGCAGAGCGGGGCCGAAATCCACGTGGAGCGCACAGTCCGACATTGTCCCTCATCTGATCTTGCCAAAACACAACCAGGGGAAGCTTCCAGAAGCCTCTCTGCTCCACACCAAATACTCTTTTCAGGGACATCCGCAGACGGACACCGAATGTGCCCACCTATCGCTCATAATGTAAGTTCACAAAGAGGTGAGAAAGCTAGCACAGACGGACACTACCGTCGGACAGTGTCGCCGTGACCCAAAACAGCTAAGCGGGCCAGCAGGTGAGGTGACAGCCGGGGAGGGCTCTCCATGCTGGTTCGGCACACCACACGCACACAGTGGGCGCGTGGAATTCAACTTTCTCCCCAGAAGTTCCAAACCCTGAGAAGTGCCAGCAGCAGAAGGTCTCACTGCTTCTTCTCTCTAAAGTGACTCCTGGGAGGTTAGGAGATGAAAGAGTGAGGACGCAGGCGGGGTACCCCGCATGCAGTCTGTGCGATCCCCGCCGTGGGC